GGGAGGGGGATGAGAAGGGGCGGGGGCGGTTTCAGCTGCCGCCTGCTGCCGTGCCCTTCCTATTTCGAGAGGAGTGCGGTTTCTGCGACTGACGTTCGGGAGGCGCATGTCTCGTCTCTCGCAGAGCAGTGCGGGCCAGCGCCGCCCTTGGCCCTCTGCATCTGCATATCTGGCTCCCCCGCCCGTTCCCCCCGCCCACCACCCTCGGCCCCGACCGCGGGCGGTCGTCAGGCTCGACCAACTGACCGAGTGGTCCGCGGCGGTGGCGCGGCAGTGCGTTGCCAACGCGCTATATACTAGTCGCATGGAATGGGCTGTGTGTGAGCGCAGCGGGGCGCTCCCGAAATACCGCACCCGAGGCATTGGCAATGGCCCGTGGTTATAGTGCGTGGTGCATCTCCTTGTTGGTGAAAGGCTTCGCGAGGGAGGCCGTATTTTGATATCCATTTGTAGAGTCTACACTCGACTCGATATCACTGCCCTTACTAGTGTTGTGTTTACCCGTTTCACACTTCGTTTATCAGTGCATAGGGGAGTTTCAGGCGAAGGGAAACGCTGCTGTGTGGAGTGGAGGGGTGGCGAGGGGGATAAGTGTGGGAGCGGGAGCATGTGGGGGAGTATCGACTGGTTTATCATTCCCATCAGAGGCTGCTTGTTTTGTGTTCTATTCATTTCGAGGTATGATTTTTTCCCTTGTTTAGTGAAACATATATTCCAGCTGGAAGAAAGTGTGGAGGTAAGCAAAATATGAGAGCAAGTGAATAAAGTTTTACAAATGTTTTTATTGGTCATAAATTTATAATGTAGGTAAAAACGAGGAAAAAGTCTTGAACATGATCTCTACTTCGATAACTTACAGCAGTCTCTGGTTTAAAAAAAATCACATCATGAACACTTTTCAAGATCAGGTCCGAACTCGGAAGTGGTTTGTAAAACAGTTCGTAAAGGTTCATATAGTTTTCGTAGTTACACATCACTGTGCGCTCACTGCCGGAGCATTAATTTTCAAAGAGCAAGACAACAAAGAAAAGAGAGCAAATACTCAGCAATTTACACAAAATAAATAACAATAAATAGCGAAGTTGGACAGGAAATAACAGAATATACAAATAATAGGAATAATAATAGTTCCACAGGAAAGGAACGTTAAAATACCCTAGGAGAATGGTAGGATGGAGAGGAAGGGGCGAAGAGAAGAAATGAAAGGACTGAAGTGGATTATGAAAAAATGAATGATAGTATAAGCAAGGAGATAAAGAAAGTGAATAATAAGGTGGGGCAAAGATCACAGTAAGAAGTTGAGTCAAGTTTAGGGAAGGTGGGGAGGGAGTGGAGTGGAGCAAGAGGGTGGGGTGGGGAATGGGGAGGAAAGAAGGGTCAGGGATGGTGGGGATATGAAGAGTGTGAAGTGGTAGGGGGTTTAAGGGTACGGGGAGGTGATGGTTGGTAGGTAAGGGGAAGGGGCAAGGGAATGTCAGGGGTTGTTTAGAAAATGAGCAAAAAGGGCGGGGGGGGGGCTTATCAAAAATAGAACCGAAAAGCTCACTTAGTAAATATTCCACGAAAACGAGTTGTAGCAACAGCATGCATCTCAATGCATGCATTAAATACAGCATGCATCTCAAT